GTGGAAGGGCAGGAGGAGAAGAATGGGGAGTTACTGTTTAATGGGCAGAAAGTTTTACAAGATAAAAAATATTATGGAGATGGACAGTGGTGATGGTTGCACAACATTATTAATGTATTTGATACCATTGAACTGTGCATTTAAATGGTTAAGATGGTAAATTTTATGTTATCTGTATTTCACCATACAAATTTTATGGTAGGTAAATTACACCTCAAGCTGTTAAAAAAAAAATTGTGAGAAATTCAAACTGTCCATCCACCTCCCACTCAACAAAAACAAAATATTGGCAGAACAAATAATTCCAAAGGATTACAGCATAGCTACTATTTCAATTGCAACTTATAAAAATGCAGTAGGTCCCTGTTCTATTCAGTAACTACTAAACACACACACACAGTTGAAGACCACAAATAAAGCCATTGCACCCAGCTAAGTATTTATTTGCAACGGAAAAAATGCAGCCAAGTTCAAATTGTTTGCCTGCCACTGACCCCAAGATCCTTCCAATGACATCTATTTTTTGCCTTAGAAAAATTAAGTTTCATACAGTTCAGCAATTTAAGCCATCTAATATCATACCAATATTATGCACCTACATTATGTGAAGTGTTAGTTACCTGGTTTCTGCTTTATTTTTTCCTAAAGGAAACACACTGGTATAGGCCAGGTGCGGTGGCTCACACCTGTAATCTCAGCACTTTGGGAGGCTGAGGCAGGTGGATCACCTGAAGTCAGGACTTCAAGACCAACCGGGCCAACATGCCGAAACCCCATCTCTACTAAAAATTTAAAAAATTAGCCCGGCATGGTGGCAGGCGCCTGTAACCCCAGCTACTTGGGAGGCTGAGGCAGGAGAATCGCTTGAACCTGGGAGGCAAGGTTGCAGTGAGCCAAGATGGCACCACTGAACTCCAGCCTGGGTAACAGAGCAAGACTCCATCTCAAAAACAACAACAACAGAAAACAAGCATTGGTTTAATCACTAGAAAATGTCTCTAACATTTTCTAAATGTATTTGACAAAATATTTTTGCACTTTTCTATCAACCGGCACTCAAATATGTGCCTTTACAATTCAGAAACAAGCTTATGATGTACCAAAATGACTTCTTTAATTGACAAATACCTGAGAAGACACTGACTAATATTAATAGATGCAAAGATGTATATAAGCCTAAGCACATAAAATGGTATATATTTTCCTCCCTCTATAACAAGTTTACCTCAAATATGTATGCTATTGTTGATCTCGGTGGTGTACCAGTAAAACGTCTTCCCTTCTAATTCTCATTATTTAGTTTTACTTTTAATTGACAAATAATAATTGTATATATTTACGAGGCTCTTCTGCTTTCTTAGCTTAGATGACTATGTCAAAGAATAAAATGATTTAATTTCATTTCCTTTTCCTATTCTTGGTAAGAAAGTACTACTTAACCTAAAGCTCTGAACAGTCACCTTATCCCTTATCCAACAGATTCCTTGCTTTCCCCGTCACTCCTTTCTTTCTTCTACCATATATTTTTAGCTGGATAGGCTCTTCCTCCCCCTGCCTTCTATATACCCGTCACCTATGCTCCCTTCCATCCACTTTGTGTCACTTGGCTTTACCTAAATGTTGGTGCATACACAGATGTACTGCTGTATTCTGGGGTGTAATACATAAGGTACAACTGTAAAACAATGGCAATGTTCTCTCAGAACACATGGAATTAAGTGCTGATGTCTTCCAGTACTCACCTTTAAAAGACTATTCTAGTAACACAATTTAACTCAAAATACATTTTACAAACTAAAGAAAAGCTAAATATGTATTCCATACTCTTATTCTTAAAATTTCTTCAAACTCATAAGAAGGTATCATTATTAGTTTAGAAAATAATTTGTTGAACACTTGCCACTTGCTAAGCACAAGTCTTGTAATGCAACAACCCTATGAAACAGGTAGCCTTTTAAATTCAGATGAACCATGAGAAATTGTCTTTTTACAGGTCAAAATACGCACTGCCCACATTTTCATAGAGAAACTAAGCCCCAGGTCACACAGCAGTTAGCTACAAAGTTACATACAACCCAACATAATCTCTAACCATGACAGATTTTTTAATCCATGTTCAAAATAGGAAAGACATGTCTTCACAGCAGTTTGTGAATGAAATAAATTCAAATGGAAAAAACTATTCCCAAAGAGCTTCTAACTGACTACAAGTTCAACAGGTAGTCATTCTAGGCCCAAGTTCCACAGCAGTCAACATAAAATTATTTTGTAAGGGTGGAAATAGTGAGTCTGTCAAGACATACACAAAAAGAGAAGAGTATTCTATTTGTCATTAGTCAGCTACTCACAAGTTATGTCATTTTGGTTACTAATCTGAGACCTGAGTCTCTCTTCCATAAAATGGAATTTGCTCTTGACCTATATCTCAGTGATGGCATGGGTTTAAAATAACTTATGTGAAGCTGGAAGCAGTGGCTCACGCCTGTAATCTCAGAACTTTGGGAGGCCAAATCACTTGAGGTCAGGAGTTCGAGACCAGCCTGGCCAACATGGTGAAACCCAGTCTCCACTAAAAATACAAAAATTTGCTGGGTGTGGTGGTGGGGTCCTGTAACCCCAGCTACTTGAGAGGCTGAGGCAGGGGAATCGCTTGAGCCCTGAAGGCAGAGGTTGCAGTGAGCCGAGATGGCACCACCTTCACTCCAGCCTGGGCGACAGAGTGAGACTCCATCTCAAAAAATAATAATTACGAACGAACATCAGCATGATGGAAACGAGAGTGAAAGGAACATAAGACCTCGTTCTTGGATGTTTCCAGTGAAACAGAGAGAGAGGGATAAATTCCATTCAAACTGTTATTATTTGAATAGAGTAATAATATTTAATTCCAGTGCAGACCCCACGCCAGGCTGCTCCTGGGTGTGACCCCAGGGGCTGCCTGGGGAGAAAGGCTTAACTACTCTGACTTCCACCAAAGAGTTTGTTAGTCTCATCTTTACACTGGCATTTGAGAAAACATCAAAAGGGTAAATTTGTCACAATTTCACCACCTCCCTCCTCAATCCAGCCCCATCCACTGCGTGTATGCACACAATACCAAAGAGTCCACTGAAATCCCTTAAAATTTTCAGCTGTCAAATGTAGTTTGATAGCTAGCTAAGGGGCCCATCAGGGCAATTTTAACTTTTCCTGGAGAGTAAGCTGAGAGGGTAGAAGCGGTAGGGTACTCTTAGTGAAGATATAAAAAATTATAGCTTTATTTTACTCCTTCAACCTTAGTCTACCAACTCTGAGGTACATATTTTCCTCAAGAGCAGTCTAAGACAGAGTTCAACCACCAGGTGGCACAATTTTAGAAAATAAATCAAGAGCGCTGTATTAACTCCAGTATAAAGAAAACGGGTAAGTATTCTAGTAACTCACTTCAGCAAATCTATAATCACAAGGAAGAACCCTGTATTTTAATGCCAGTTGGCTTTTCTTCAGAAAGATTTTCCTACTGTGCGGCTGCCCAGGAAATTTACACTACAGTTGTAATTTCTAATGTTCTTGCAAAACATGCAAAAAACAAGGCCAGAAAAGTCTGTTGTTCAGGGTCTGAAGAATCTGTTCTCCAGAAAAAAACTGTAAACACTCTGCTTTCTAAAATACATTTTTTTAGGCTGGGCGCGGTGGCTCACGCCTGTAATCCCAGCACTTTGGGAGGCCGAGGTGGGCAGCTCACTTGAGGTCAGGACCAGCCGGGCCAACATGGGTGAATCCCCGTCTCCACTAAAAATACAAAAATTAGCCGGGCGTGGCCTGTAACCCTAGCTACTCGGGAGGCTGAGGCACGAGAATCACTTGAACCTGGGAGGTGGGGGTTGCAGTGAGCCGAGATCGCGCCACTGCACTCCAGCCTGGGCGACAGAGCAAGACGCCATCACAAAATAAAATTTAAAAAATAAAAATATATAAAAATAAATAACATTAAACATTTTTAAAGCCTACATTTCGGCCCTGGTATCAGTTAAATAATTATTTTTCAACTTTTCAAACTATGAGCCACACTGCAGCAGAGGTAGCAGGCAGACAGGGACTGCCTCCCCTGCCCACTTCCACTTATCACATCGACTTCTCACAGGACCAATTCTAAACCGATACCACCAAGAACGTGACTGGCGCTAGTACTGTAGACCCCATGCCAGGCTGCTTCTGAGACGGACCCCGGGGGCTGCCTGGGGAGAAGGGCTTAACTACTCTGACTTCCACCAAAGAGTTTCTCAGTGAATGCGACCTCGCAGCTTTCCCTGAATAAACATTACCAGGGCTTACAAGGTGCCGAACACTCTGCCAAAATCATGTGAATTTCAGAGAAAAATACTCGTTCATACATCTCAAGGAACGCACAGGCTCGTGAGGGAGTATTCTTGCAAATGCACGTGGTAAATGCCCAATCCATGTTCGCTACATGTCAGAAATTGACAACTAGTTCGGGCCTCAACGCAGCAGGAAAAGGATGAAAAAGAAACTCATTTTAAATAAACTAAACAAGTGCAAAAGGCATGCATATACAGGAGAGGAGATACGAATGGCATCACAACACAATTCCTTTGACATCGAAAACTTCCATGCCTTTAAGGTTTTCAATGAAGACTTCCAAAACTATTTAAGACTCTACATAAAACGCCTGATCTTTAAACCCAAGAAAAGAAAGGTGAGCGTATTACTTTCCTGGAGGAAAAAAAAAAAAAGGTACTAAAGGGGAAAAAAGAGTAAAGTGTACTGACCGGCACAGGGCACTGCAGCTGAGACGTGTTTGAACGGCGCCCGTTTTCTACCTGCAAATTCTCAATTGCTAGATAAATAACAACACTTTATTGGGCGCTCATCGTGTCAAACCCTGTGTTGAGGGCTCCATTCCTCAAGGCCCATTTTACAGGCGAGGAAGCCCCGTCTCCGGGAGGGAAGGAGCGCGCCCAAAGTCACCAGCCAGTGAGTGGCGGGCGGATTCCAACCCCGAGCGACGCCCAAGGCCGCTCCCAGCCACCAGCGTGTTCCAGCTAGCGCCCAGCCATCTCACTCGCAGCCTCCCCATCGCAGCAGCCCGGCTATGGGCCTGCGGCAGTCGGGTCTTCCGGGTCCCCATCTCCTGGGGCCGACCGGCAGCAGGACCGGGCTCGGCGGGACGCGCTGTCAGGCGACCTAAGGACGGACAACGGACAGCGCTCGGAACGGCCCGGACTCCCAAGACTCACCGGACTCGCGGCCACACCGGGAGAACTAAAGCGGCAGTCACCAAGGGAGACGCCCGACCCGAAGGCCGGCTGCAGGGGAGCCGAGAGCTGAACCGCCTGCCAGACACCGAAGGCCACTGACGCCCTCCACCGCTCCAGGGCGGTCCGGGCTCCCCGCCCCCGCTGCCCGCGGGCCCCGAGGCGCATGCACCGCCTGGCCTGGACGGGCCCATTTCCGTCCGTCGTGGGGGGAGGCACAGTGAGTCCACTGAGGCACGACAGGGTCTAAGTCACAAGCCGAGCACACAAGCCAGACGCTAACGGAGCCTATGTGTAAATCCACTAGTGGTGCAAGGCTGTACACTTGTAAGAACAGCGGCGTGGGGGCTCGGCGACCTTCGCTTCAGTCGCTCCCCCGTGCAATCCCCTGTGCCCAAGACTGTTGCTTGCGCTCCGCTGGGCGGGGCTTGGAGGCGGCGGGAACTGCAATTGGTGGCTTTGAAGGCGCGGCGGGCGGGAACAGCTGCCTCAGAGGGAGACTGAAGGAGATGTCGGCCGGTAAGAGAGCCCCGGGCGGCACTGGATCGGGCCCGGGAGGGTGTGGGGCCTTGAGGACGCCAGACCCCAGGCCTCGGGGAGCGGCTTTTTCTTAATTGTCGCACGTTATGAGGCTTAAGATTGGCGCTGGGTCTCGGGCTCGGGGCGGGGAACTACGGTTCGGGCCGAGGTGAGGGGGCGGTGACGCTGTGCCGGACGTGACGTCACCTCGCCCGCGGTGGGGCGGGTCGAGCCGTACGTAGGCACGCGACTGCGTCAGAGGCGGGCCGTGTGGTCATGTGACCAGGGGCTCCGCTCTCCGAGCCTGGGGTTGCTTCCTGGCCCAGAATTGGGGTTTTGCGTTTCTGTCACCTCGGCTTCCGTCGTTTTTCGTCCGTGTAGCCTCTTGCGTTGCTCCTCGCGCTGCCTGTTGGAGCTCTGCAGAGGTGTGTGGCTACGGGAACGTTACTTAAAATGGATCTTTTTGATCATGCGTTCCGCAGACCTTGAGTATCTACTGTATGCCAGGCACTAAAGCGCTAGGAAGTACAAAGAAAGTTTAAAAATGGGGCCGGGCGCGGTAGTTTACGCCTGTAATCCCAGCACTTTGGGAGGCCGAGGCGGGTGGATCACGAGGTCAGGAGTTCGAGACCAACCTGGCCAACATGGTGAAACCCCCGTCTCTACTAGAAATAGGAAAATTAGCCGGACGTGGTATCAGGTGCCTGCAATCCCAGCTATTTGGGAGGCTGAGGCAGGAGAAGCGCGTGAACCCAGGAGGCGGAGGTTGCAGTGAGCTGAGATAGCGCCACTGCACTCCAGCCTGGGCGACACAGCGAGACTCTGTCTGAAAAACAACAAAAAAAGGAAAGTTTAAAAATGGTCACGGGGTAAACTTTTACTAAAGGGATTTCCATCTTAATTGGTGAGATTGAGTGCGCTCTACCAAATTTCTTTAGACTGGCGTTCTGCAAACTTTACCCGGAATTAATCATCTGACGTACTCTTTAAAAGATGCTAAATCTCAAGCCTTCCGTGCGCCCTTCTCTCAGTTTAATTTGCTAGGGCCCAGGAATCAATTTTAACAGCCTCGCCTCGCCTGTGTGTGTTTTGGTTTTTTTGGTGGTTTTTTGTTGTTGTTGTTGTTTTGAGACGAGTCTTGCTATGTCGCCCATGCTGGAGGGCAGTGGCGCGTTTTTGGCTCACTGCAACCTCCTCCTCCCGGATTCAAGCGGTTCTCCTGCCTCAGCCTCCCGAGTAGCTGGGACTACAGGTGTGCGTCACGACATCCGGCTGCTTTTTGTATTTCTAGTGGAGACGGAGTTTCACCATGTTGGCCTGAGTGGTCTCGAACGCCTGATCTCAAGTGATGCACGGTGCCGGGCGCGCTCCTGGCCCCTCGCCCGTGTTCTTAATGGGAGAGGTGTTGATTTGATGTTTCACTGACTGTTGAATCCCAGTTCGCCCAGGTTGTCTCCTCAGGCATTCATTCCACAAGTATTTTTCAAGGACGCTGTAGACTGTTCTTGGCTATAGTGACGCCTTTCTGGTCTAGGAGTATAGCTGTGAATAAAAACATCGTCCTGTCCTGGAGCTCAATTTTAGAAACAAGAAAATTTAAAAAGATAATTTCAGATAGTTCGGTAAAGACAATTAGCAGTGGATGGCCTGGCGCACTAGCTCACGCCTGTACTCCCAGCACTTTGGGAGGCCGAGGCAGGAGGATCACTTGAGATTGGGAGTTCAAGACCAGCCTGACCAACATGGTGAAACCCCATCTTTACTAAAAATAGAAAAATTAGTTGGGTGTCATGGTGCACACCTGTAATCCCAGATACTCAGGAGGCTGAGGCAGGAGAATCATTTGAACCTGCGAGGCAGAGGCTGTAGTGAGCAGAAATCACGCCACTGCACTCCAGTGTGGGCGACCAAGCAAGACTGCCTCTAAAAAAAAGGAAAAAAAAAATTAGCAGTGGAGAGTGGGGAAGTAACTTTTGGTTGTGTGGTCAGGATAAGTCTGAGGAGAAACCATTTAAGCTAACACCTGAATGACAAGAAGTCACTGGAGAGAACATGTGCAGGAAGACCCTTCTAGGCAGTCGTAACTGCAGGCACAATGGTCCTTTTCCAAAGAGATTATTTAACTAAGAGACTAGTGTAGCTGGAGCTCAGAAAATCAAGGAGAGGGAAGCAGGGGTCACGCAACACGGGGCCTTGTAGACCATGGTGAAGGCTTTAGATGGTCCAGTAACTACACAAAGAAACAAATCCGACTCCTGTTTCATGATCCTGAGTCTGTTCCTACGGCCTTAATTCAGTTATTTTTCTCTTTCTAAACAACTCCTAATCCTTCCTCTTTTATCTTTGTTTTACTATCATTTTCAGTATATTTTTAAATACAGTTAACTATATTTCTTTTCAGAAGTAGACAAGGATAATTTTTCAGTTTTCAACAAATAAGTCACAGCCAGGACTCTTGTAGGAAGATACTTCTTTGTCCCTGGAATTCCCAAAGTTGTAAAGGAAACAGATAAGACTACAGGCTTGTGTCTTAAACACAGACACTCAAGGTCTGTGTGTGCCTTCCTAGAAGATACACTGTTAAGGGACATTAAAGTATGCAGGTTGTACCCTGCATTGTTTAAAAATCATGTTTGCAGACCGCGCGTTGGCTCACACCTTAATCCCAGCACTTTGGGAGGCCGAGGCGGGTGGATCACTTGAGGTCAGGAGTTTGAGACCAGCCTGGGCAACATGGTGAAACCCTGTCTCTACTAAAGACACAAAAATTAGCCAGGTGTGGTGGTGCACGCCTGTAGTCCCAGCTACTTGGGAGGCTGAGGCAGGAGAATCACTTGAACCAGGCTGGGGAGGTTGCAGTGAGCTGAGGTCGCACCACTGCACTCCAGCCTGGGTGACACAGTGAGACTCTTATCTCGAATGAAAAAAATAAATAAATATCAATGTCTGTTTGCTTTTTTGTTCTGTATTTGAAGAGAGAGAGAGATGCTCACCGGTGTCCCCAAATAAAGTAGCAGAGGTGAGATCAGCTGTCAACATTGGCTCACAACTTCTGCCCAGAGGAAAATAATAAAAGAGCTCAGAATCTTCCTTCCTTATTCCTTCAGCCGCTAGGTCATTCCTCTGGAGATTATATCCCTTGCCTATTGATGAGGGAGCCACACTGGATTTGGGGCTCAGGACCTTATAGACAGTTGAGGAATCTCACCTTCAGGCATGGGCAGGAGAAGTGAGGGAGGAAAGAGCTCTTTGTTCACAGGCAGTGCATAAAAGGACTGAGAGACAGCAATCCACTGCACCGCTAGCTCTTAGCATGTCCTGTGGACTCACAGATCCAACTGCTTTTTCAGTATCTCCTTTGGACTCTCATCTTTATCTTAATATTAACAGATTGAGAATAGATTTCCAGAATTCCTGAGCTTTCTTCTTTCCCTGTCGCAGTCTTGACCATCTCAGCTAATAGTAACTTTGTCTTTTAGTTCCCTGGTAAAAACCTTGGTTTCATCTTTGGTTCTTTTCTTGATCTAACACCCCACATGTAATCCATCTAGAAACCCCGTGAGTTCCCTCTTAAAAGTGTATCCAGAATCTGACCTCTTCCCCTGCCTCACTAACCTCCAACCTCTGCCCTCGCCTCCTTACAGTGTGTTCTCAGTACAGTAGCCAGATTGATCCTGGCAGAAAAGCTAAACAAGAGCATGTCCTGGCTGTGCTCAGCACCTTGCAGAGTGAAAAAAGCAGTGATCCCTGCAGTGGCTTTCAGGGCCCTCCATGATCACTGACCTCACCTCCTTCTCTATGCCTCCTTCCTGTCTCTGCTGTGCCCTCACTGGAGGCCACCTTTCCCTGTTCCTTGAAGGCCCTAAGCAGGCTCTTGCCTCGGGACTGTTGCACATGCTGTTCCTTCTGCCTGGAAAGCTCTTCCACCACATGACTCCTTCTCCTGCAAGGATTGCCCCAAAGTCATAGTCTCGATGAGGCCTACTCTCTCCAGCACTCCTACCCTCAACTCAGCCTGCCAAAATTATTCCATTTTCTCCAGCACTCCTCACTTTTAACATAGTTTGTGATTCCTCTGCTGTTTCTCTCTCCCCACTAGAATGGATGCACCATACTGGAACAGATGTTTGTCTTTTTGGCCAAAGACATATCTATCCCCAGTGCCTAGAAAAGTGCCTGGCATGCACAGGTCCTCAGTAAGGGGTTATATGAATCAGTGAATGAATGAATGATTTATGTATCATCGTCATCAAAACATCAAAATAAGAGTAAAGGAGAGAGCGCACTAATTTTTAAACTCTAAAACATTTAAATATACATTAAGGAGAAAATAATTAAATGCTTATGCTAAAACACTGCAGGATAGCTGAAAAAGTGTAAACATTTAGGTGTTTGACCTACAAATCAAAATCCTAGCTAAATATGCTGATGGCCATGCGCGGTGGCTGATGCCTGTAATCTCAGCACTTTGGCAGGTTGAGGTGGGTGGATTGCTTAAGCCTAAGAGTTCAAGACCAACCTGGGCAATGTAGTGAGACCCTGTCTCTATTTTTCATACGTGTGTGTGTATGTGTAAATAAAAACAGACAAGTATTGTATTTGGTTAATACTTTGTTGTGCTGTTTTTGTTTTGTAAAAGCGCCAAAGAGATGGATGAGACCGTTGCTGAGTTCATCAAGAGGACCATCTTGAAAATCCCCCTGAATGAACTGACAACAATCCTGAAGGCCTGGGATTTTTTGTCTGAAAATCAACTGCAGACTGTAAATTTCCGGCAGAGAAAGGAATCTGTAGTTCAGCACTTGATCCATCTGTGTGAGGTAACAGTGTTAGAAATGATGAGTCTTGAACAGAGTGATACCCCTTTGGGTTTTTCTTTCTTCTATTCCTTACCCCAAAAGAGATGTAAGGTAGCTGCTAAACTATTAGTGAAGTGATGAGGTCTATATACAGCTGCAGTGGAAAAAAACCTAATTTTTAATTGACCTTTTCATCTTAAAAGAATGCTTACAAATCAATAAGATGGAAAAAGTAAATATCATAGGAGAAGAAAAAACAGTACAAATTAAAATAACAAGCAGTGTTTTTTGCAGTATTTTTTTAAACCTATCAAATTATCAAGGATGAAAAGACAACAACACCCAAATGTATTGGCAGAGTTGTAAGGAAAGAGACTCTGTCTTTCATGTGTGTTTATCGACTTAATTGCTTATTGTTTTAAAATGTTTTAGTTGCAAATATAGTTCAAATAATTTTCTTATTCCAATATACCCATCCCCCCTTCACTTCTATTTATTTATTTGTTTGTTTATTTTTGAGACAGTCTTACTCTGTCATCCAGGCCAGAGTGCAATGGCACAATCTCAGCTTACTGCAACCTCTGCCTCCCAGGTTCTAGCGATTCTAGTGCCTCAGCCTCCTGAGTAGCTGGGACTACAGGCACGCACCACCACACTGGCTAATTTTTGTATTTTCAGTAGAGACGAGGTTTTGCCATCTTGGTCAGGTTGGTGTCGAACTCCTGACCTCAGGTGATCCGCTCACCTTGGCCTTCCAAAGTGCTCGGATTACAGGTGTGAGCCACCATGCCTGGCCTCCTTCACTTTTAAATAAATACACTTTTTGACCTAGGATTCTACTTACAGAAATTTATGATGAGAAAATAATAAAAAATGAGGTATGTATAAATATTATAATTGATAAATATTTAGTTATATAAATCAAGATGCATTGTAGCATTGTTTTAAAAACAAAACACGTTCACATAAAGATGTGTGTACTAATGTTCACAGCAACATTATTCATAAAAGCCACAAACTGGAAACAACCCAAATGTCCATCAGCAGGTAAACAGATGAACAGATTGTGATGTATCCATACAGTGGATATACTCAGCAATAAAAAGGAATGAAGTATTCATAGATGCTAACATATGGATGGATATGAAAATAATTGTGCTGAGTAAAAGCCAGACCAAAAAATGAGTACATACTTATGTTAACATTCATAAAAACCTCTAGAAAATGTAAACAAATCTGTAATGACAGAAAGCAGATCAGCATTTGCCTTAGGACTAAGGCTTGGGAGGTAGAGACATGGGAACCAAGAAGAGTGGAAGGAAGTGGGCAGTGATAAGAAAGGGACACAAGATTGGACTCAGTGGCTCCTGCCTGGAATCCCAGCACTTTGGAAGGCCAAGGCAGGCAGATCATTTGGGGTTAGGAGACCAGCTGGCCAACATGGAGAACCCCCTTCTCTACTAAAGATACAAAAATTAGCTGGGCATGGTGGCACACGCCTGTAGTCCCAACTCCTCAGGAGGCTGAGGCAGGAGCATCACTTGAACCTGGGAGACAAAGGTTGCAGTGAGCTAAGAGTGCACCTTTGTACTCCTGCCTGGGCAATAGAGCAAGACTCTGTCTCAAAAAAAAAAAAGAGACACGAGAAAATTTGGGAGGCAGCGCTGGTGGATATTGTCACTGCCTTGATTGTGGTAATGGTTTTGTGTGTATATTCGTAAGTCAAAATGTATCAAATTGTATACTTTAAATATATTTAAAATATATATTTAAACAGTTTAATGCATGATAATTATACTTCAATAAAGTTAATTTTGTAAAACTCAAGAAGTTAACAGTGATGAATGAGGAATAAATTGTGAGAGAAGGTTGTGAATGCCTGGACTAAGACATGAATCAGTCAGAATGTCCATTGGTTAACAGGAGAACAGATTGGAGACAGTTTGTCAGTAAAGTGCTGAGAACGTACAAATAGTCTGTTCTAACCAATCCTAAAATGTGTTTTAAATGGGATAGAACCAAATCTATCACCACGGTTACTAAATAATTTGTTTTCTCTTTTAGGAAAAGCGTGCAAGTCTGAATGACGCTGCCCTGTTAGACATCATTTGTAAGTTTTAGTGATTGGCATTTACACTTAACTGATCAGTTTCATCAGAGGCAATTTTGTCGCCCAGGCTGGAGTGCTTTAACGTCATCTCAGCTCACCGCGACCTCTGCCTCCTGGATTCAAGTAATCCTCCAACCTCAGCCTCCCAAGTAGCTGGGGCTATAGGAGTGCACCACTATGTATGGCTAATTTTTTGTATTTTTTGCCACGAGGTTTTGCCATGTTGCCCAGGCTGGTCTCCAGCTCCTGGGCTCAAGTGTTCCTCCTTCCTCAGCCTCCCAAAGTGCTGGGATTATAGGGGTGAACCGCTGTACTTGTCCCAGAAGCAATTTTGTATATAAGGCCTCAGATTCTAGAGTCGAGGAGACCTTGTTTCAAATCCCAGTATGTCACTCAACCATATGTTGTTTGACAAGTTGCATCACCTTTCTGAGCCTCAGACTTCAAGCAGAGATAATAGTACAGTATCTACTTCACAAGATTCTTGTTAGGATTAAATGAGGTAGAGCCTGAGAAGCTGTTAGCATGGTAACTAGCATAAAGTAAATGTTAGGCTTTGTATTACTCAGGTTGCCAACTTACAACAGCTCAACTTAAAATTTTTCAACCAGTATGAAAGCAGCAGACATTCAACAGAAACCATACTTTGAGTTCCCATATGACCATTGTTTTCTCACTTTCATACAGTATTTAGTAAATTACATGAAGTATGCAACAGTTTATGATAGAAGACTCTTGGATGATTTTGCTCAACTGTAGGCTATAAGTGCTCTGAGCACACATAAAGTAGGCTAGGCTAAGCTAAGATATAAAGGTTAGGTGAATTATTTTCACCTCAAGGTGGATTTATCAGGCATAGCCCCATCATAAGTCAAGAAGAATCTGTACTATTACTATAGGATTTGAAAATAACTTTCTGAAAATGTGTTCCGATTACAGTGTAGCTTCTCACCTCTCCTCCCTTCCATTTCATTGATTTTTGTTTAGCTTGCCTGTCTGTACTTTTTCAAGATGTCTGTTTTTTTAATCAGAAGGCAGCATAATGTAGGGGCTGAGAACACAGGCCCTGGGGCCAGATTTCTTGGGTTCATTTCATGGCTCCATTACTGCCTCCCTGTGAGCCCTGTAGGAAGTTGGTTAACATCTCTGTGGCATACCATCATCTCTGGTATTATCATTTGACCCATCTGTATAATAGTGATAATATCACACAAGGTTATGGTGAGAATTAAATAAGAGTACAAGTTAAATACTTAGAGCCTGGTATTAACTAACTGCAATCATTATGTATTAGCTGTTTTCTGTAAGTGTAACAGAAATTATCTTTAGTAATACTTTGCTCCAACTCATGGCATGCTCCAATTCATGCTATTGCTGAATTTAGAGCATCTGCCTCTGATTTAGTTTATCTCATTTTCAGTGGTTGGATTCTCTCAGGCATAAAAAGTGGATCCACACCATTCCCATTTCTCATGCATTCATTCAAAAATTCATTAAGCACCTGGCTAGACACAGTGGCTCACACCAGCACTTTAGGAGACCAAGGCAGGTGGATCACCTGAGGTCAGAAGTTGGAGACCAGCCTGGCCACTATGGTGAAACCCCATCTCTACTAAAAATACAAAAAATTAGCCAGGCATGGTGGCAGGTGCCTGTAATCTGCTACTCGGGAGGCTGAGGCAGGAGAATCGCTTGAACCCAGGAGACAAGAGGTTGCAGTGAGCCAAGATCGCACCACTGCACTCCAGCCTGGCGACACCAGGAGACTCTGTCTCAAAAAAAAAAAAGAAAGAAAGAAAAAGAAAAGAAAACCTGGTCTGAGGTCCAGAGACACAGACAGGTCAGGGCAGAGAGAGTTTTAAGCCAGAAGGATGAAGGGATATGGTTGAACTTGCTAACTTCCTAGATCATTTCTACTCCAAGATACTCCAAGTGTGTAACTCCTGAAAGGTGTTTTCTGTCATATACTTAGTCATTCATTCGTTCATCAAACATATACGGAAGCCCGTTGTGGTGTGGGACACCTGGGAGGCTGAGGCAGGAGGATCACTTGAGCCACGAATTCAAGTCTAGCCCAGTTAACTTAGTGAGACCCTGTCTCTTAGAAAAACAAAACAAATACTGAGTGCTTGCTTTATGCCACACAATTTAGACCCAAGACTACAACAGTGAACAGGTCCCTCATTTCCATCAGAGTCTAATTGGCAAGACAGGCAGTGTACAAATGAACATCTAAATAAATAATGTGGCCGGGCACAGTGGCTCATGCCTGTAATCCCAGCACTTTGGGAGGCCGAGGCGGGTGGATCACCTGAGGTCAGGAGTTTGAGACCAGCCTGGTCAACATGGTGAAACCCCATCTGTACTAAAAATGCAAAAAATTAGCCGGGTGTTGTGGCAGGCGTGTGTCATCCCAGCTACTCGGGAGGCTGAAGCAGGAGAATCACTTGAACCTGGGAGGCGGAGGTTGCAGTGAGCTGAGATTGCACCATTGCACTCCAGCCTGGGCAACAAAGAGTGAAACTCTGTCTCAAAAAATAATAATAATAATACATACATAATGTGACGTCAGGTAGTGATGAGTCCTCCAACGGGAACTGGGAACTAACGCAGAGTGTTTGGGGTAGGGTGATCACGGTGGGGACTACTCTGAGTAGAGAGCAGAATGAGGTGGGGCGTGGGGTGTGTAAGGAGCTAGGAAAAGAGGCTGCAGGCAGAGGAACAGCTGGCTCAAATGTGGGTCCTGTGGGGCACAGCATTCCCTGTCGTGCCAGATTAATGTGATATTCTGTGGGGCAGGCTTATGTGGAAATAGAATAAATGGGCTAACAGAATAAATACCAAAACTGAACTGTATCATCTAAGTCGGTTGAATTGAGTAATTATGATTTGCTTTATTTATATGAAGTAAATTTAATCCATATAAAGTTTATATTTTGAACACAAATCTGTATAATCCAATTTATGAATTACTGTTTTCCCCAGTTTTATAGTATAGAAATATCTATAGGCATATTAGTTCAAAGTTCTATGATATGCTAATAGTAAACCTTTCTTCCCTCTCTCAGATACGCAATTTCATCAGCACCAGAAAGTTTGGGATGTTTTTCAGATGAGTAAAGGACCAGGTAATATTTTCTGTTTACAATTGCACATTTGTATTTGATAGTTTGGCTTGGACTCATGAGGCAGAGGTTACAGCGAGCTGAGATCGCACCACTGCACTCCAGCCTGGGTGACAGAGCAAGACTCCATATCAAAAAAAGAAAAAAGAATAGCAGTATGTTCCTCATTTCTTTAAAAATGAGGTGATTATTTATTACTTACTTATGGAAAATGAGAAACATATTTCTTGGTGCCATATCAGAAGTACTAGCAGCATTTGTTTGATTTAATCATTATTACTCTGGAATTATACAAAATGCTTAGTTTCATGGTACTTTGCAAATGTATTTACTGAAAACATTGTAGCTCTCTTGATTTTTCTTTATTTTTTTTCACTTTGGCAGGTGAAGATGTTGACCTTTTTGATATGAAACAATTCAAAAATTCATTTAAGAAAATTCTTCAGAGAGCATTAAAAAATGTAAGAATAAAATTCATCTTTTACATAAAATTCAATGTCATAACATCTGTGCACTTAAAATTTGCTACTATCTTAGTTTTTTTTTTTATTTGTAAGAAATTCAGTTAGTAATAGTTCATACTGTTCTACTCCATATCAAAAACACACTGTAAATATTATAAAAACTTCCCTTTCCTCTCTCCTGTCCATTCAGGGCCTGAGGCTGCTTTTTCTGGAGGAGCTCAGTCCAGCAGAGCTCTCTGCAGTGATGGAAATGCTCTGTACTGGCATTGTTCAGTTCAGCCACATGTAGCTGCTGAGCACTTGAGGCTAATGTGACTGAGCAGCTGAAATTTTAATCTTTTTGTTGTTGTTGTTGTTGAGACAGAGACTCTGTTGCCCAGGCTGAAGTACAGTGGCGAGATCTCGGCTCACTGCAGCTGCCTCCTGGGTTCAAGCAATTATTCTGCCTCAGCCTCTCCAGTAGCTGGGACTACAGGTGCGCACCACTACACCCAGCTAATTTTTGTATTTTTGGTAGTCATGGAGTTTCTCCATGTTGGCCAGGCTGGTCTTGAACTCCTAACCTCAGGTGATCTCCCTGCCTCGGCCTCCCAAAGTGCTGGAATTACAGGCATGAGCCACCGCACCCAGCCTGAATTTTTAATCTTATTTAACTTTAATGATTTTACATTAAATAGCCACATGTAACTAGTAGTTCCAGTAATGGTCAGTGCAGACCTGAAGCACCCTTGATTTTACAGATGTTTTTGCTTTTGTAATGTGAAACAAAGAAGCTGTTCAGAATAAGACGATCTTCCATTCGAGCCAGTAGAGGCCCACTGAGCGCGTGATTGGGGCCAAGCTCTGTGCTGCTCACTCAGGAAAGTCAGACAGCTCTATGCCACCATACCCTGGACTGGGGAAACTTTATTGTCTCCTGCACTGAGGGAATTTGGAAAAGCTGGTAAAGAATGGGCAGAATTTGCTAGTGCCACCGTAACCACCCACTTTTCCTAGAACAAGATCTCAGAGGGAGGAAACAGAGACTTTGGCAAGCCAAGTGCATCTCACTCAAGTCCCGACTTTCTAGGCTCAAAGCTTTAAAGGGAAGCTGAATCAGAGGGGAGCTGATAATCCAGGAGCAGGCTATTAAATTCCAGACCAATTGGCAACCATATTTAAAAGTTTGGAAAGGCCTGTATTTTATTCATGAAATGGATACAAGGTAGTACTTCCTTTGGTCTCGCCATATAACATTCCTTTAGAGGAGTTTTTAGCTTCTGAGCTAAATGCATAAGAGCATTAGGAACAGTATATTTTCAAGCCCATTATGACACAGAAATCTCCTTTTTTCTTCTTTTTTTTTTTTTTTTTTTTTTTGAGACATGGTCTCACTCTGTTGCCCAGGCTAGAATGCACTGACATGATCTCGGCTCACTATAGCCTAGACCTCCCAGGCTCAAGCCATCCTCCCACCTCAGCCTCTTGACTAGCTGGGACTATAGGCACATGCCACTGTGCCTGCCTTTTCTTTTTTTTGGTAGATATTGAGTTTCACTGTGTTGCCCAGGTTGGTCTCAAACTGCTGGGCTCAAGCGATCCTCGTACCTCAGGCTCCCAAAGTGCTACGATTATGGCTTGAGCCACAACACCCAGCCTAATTACATAGAAATCTTACCGTTAAACTTTATAGTGTGTGCTAGGTCTGGGTTAGATGCTAAGAAGGCTTCATTATAAAACAAGTATTTCATTTGTAAGGCTGCCTTACCTTATAAACTCTTAGAGATGGAAGAACAGTTTTCAGGACAAGTCCAAGAAATTATTGAAAAAACAATCACCTCTACAAAAAAACTTTAAAAAAAATTAGCCAGGCATGATGGCACATGCCTGTGGTCTCAGCTACTAGGGAGGCAAGATGGGATCGCTTGAGCCCAGGAAGTCGAGGCTGCAGTGAGCGAGCTATGATCATGCCACAGCACTCCAGCCTGAGCAACAGAGCAAGACCTAGTCTCAGAAGAAAAAAGAAGAAATAAAAAGGATGTTTTTTAAAAAAATCACAAAATGTTTTCCCAAAGATTCCCAAAATACTCATGAAAAGCAGAAAAGACTGCCAGGCCTCAGCCTGCATACACGAGCATAGGCACATCATTGTTCACCCCTAAAAGACTGCCACGTCTCAGCCCACATACACAAGCATAGGGACATCATTGTTCACCCCTAAAAGACTGCCACGTCTCAGCCTGCATACACAAGTGTACGGACATCATTGTTCACCCCTAAAAAGACTGCCAGGTCTCAACCCACATACACAAGCATTGGGACATCATTGTTCACCCCTAAAAAGCACCTGGAGTTGATACCACAATGAAATTTTAATTAGGAAATTATGCTTTTTTTTTTTTTTTTTTTTTTTTTTAAATAAGGTGACAGTCAGCTTCAGAGAAACTGAGGAGAATGCAGTCTGGATTCGAATCGCCTGGGGAACTCAGTACACAAAGCCAAACCAGTACAAACCTACCTACGTGGTATACTACTCCCAGACTCCGTATGCCTTCAAGTCCTCCTCCACTCTGAGGCGCAATACACCGCTTCTGGGTCAGGTATGGAACAAATTATTACAAGCTATAATATTTTATTATCGTATCTCAAAGATCTATATAGATTTTAACTGCTCAATAAGTATTTGATAGAGAATGCCAGGCCAGGTGCAGTGGCATGTACCTGTGGTCCCAGCTACTTGGGAGGCTGAAGTGGGAGGATTGCTCGTGCCCACGAGTCTGAGGCTGCCGTGAGCTGTGATCACAAGACAAAGCAACACCCCACCTCTAAAAAAAAAAAGACACAGAAAACCACATGTAATTCTTGTTCTCCTAAAATAAGAAACAGAGGGTGTTGTTATCTGCAGATGGGAACATGGCATAAGATATTAGATTGGAGCTGTACTTTATTGTTTTTTGATCTAGAAATAATGCATACTTAATATAAAAAATGCAACCGATACAGAAGTCTCTAAAGATAAAAAGTCTTCAAAGCTTCATACCCCTTTTCCCTATTCCATTCGTTCAAAATAACTACTGTCAAAGTTTGCTATTGCCTTTGACAAGATAGTTCTCATAAAAGCCAGGGTAGACCAGGCACGGTGCTCACGTCTGTAATCCCAGCACTTTGGGAGGCTGAGGTCGGTGCATCACCTGAGGTCAGGAGTTTGAGACCAGCCTGGGCAACGTGGCGAAACCCCGTCTCTACTAAAAATACAAAAAAAGTAGCCAGGCGTGGTGGCAGGCGCCTGTAATCCCAGTTACTTGGGAGGCTGAGGCAGGAGAATTGCTTGAACCCGGGAGGCGGAGGTTACAGTGAGCCCAGATCGCGCCATTGCACTCCAGCCTGGGCAACGAGAAAGAAACTCCATCTCAAAAAAAAAAAAGTAACAACATTTCCACATGGTTACAAATAAATATACCACATTACTTTTTCATAATTGTATAATTTGCTTATTAATAAACATTATTTTCCTTTGTAACCATTTCTCCCACATTCCATACACAAGGAGACTGCTTCCACATAAGATGTAGCCTCTGTTCAGAGCCTGCTTCTCTTTATGGTTCTGCCTTTACTATCACAGGCTTCCTAGCATCTTTCCCCAAATTAGTTCTCCCTAAATTGGCCTGGCACTTGCTGCTGCCACTATTAGCATTCACAACCACAGTGGCACCTTCAGTTGGTTCCAGAGCTGCCACGTCAGCTGGTTGTAGGGGGGCAGCTCTGCCATCCTGGCTGCATCATGTCCTGTCACTCCACAGCAGAGTTGGGTGGAGGTGCGGTGTGGAGTACCAAGGACTCCACTGTTGTGACCAGGCGAGCCCTAGGGTCCCTGTGACTACTTGCTTGTCATTTAGGTTTTTTGGTGGTTTATTGAAATGGCAAAGACTGCTACTCACTTCTATTTCCTTAAAATACTTCTTTACATTTGGCGTCTCCTCCTCCATGATACATAGTGGTCTTTCATCCACTTACAGCCAGGTGAGTACACCTTGCCACAGGTAGTTTAAACATTACCCCAAAGGCCAACGTTCTTTTTTTTTTTTTTCCTGAGATGGAGTCTCACTCTGTCACCCAGGCTTGGGTGTAGTGAGGCAATCTTGGCTCACTGCACCTTCCTCCCCTCAGGCTCAAGCGATTCTCCTGCCTCAGCCTCCCAAGTAGCTGGGACTACAGGCACTCACCACTATGCCCAGCTAATTTACTTTACTATTTTTAGTGGAGACTGGGTTTCACCATGTTGCCCAGGCTGGTCTCAAACTCCTGACGTCAAGTGATCCGCCTGCCGCGGCCTGCCAAAGTGCTGGGATTACAGGCATGAGCCACCGCGTGGACTAATATTCATTTCTATTGTGTATCTTAAGGCGTGCTTGTCTCTATTCTCTAGATCTGGGTAAACATCTTATCCTATCATAGGAATTCTGTTTCAGTCTTCTTTTTCCCTAATGACAGGAAACTCTTATAAGCTATATTCAGTATACACTTTTTTCTTTAGTATTTGTCCTAAAGCATACATATCTGCATTTTTGTATGGCAATATCATTACAGTATTAGATGACTGGTATTCAAAAACAGTAACATTTTGAGTATTCATTGTTTATTCCTAAGTCTGAACTTGATTTATTAGTAACTTCTAACTTTAAACAGGATCACTTTTCTAAAAAATTGATACAAAAGACTGCATTTATCAGAATCTTAATGGTATTAACCACTTTGTTTTTGAAGCTGAGTAACAGGCTATCAGATTTTTCTCTAGACTTCTTTTTACATTTATGAGGAAACTATTCACTAATTGCTGCTCTTACATTTTACTTCAACAAATATTACAAACACAGAGACAGTAATCCTAATAATGGTCTTGCAAATTTTCATTTCAAGGCGCTGACAGTTGCTAGCAAACACCATCAGATTGTGAAAATGGACCTGAGAAGTCGGTATCTGGACTCTCTTAAGGCTATTGTTTTTAAACAGTATAATCAGGTGAGCCAATCAGTGACTCTATTTAAAGGTAAATCTTTATTTTCTCTTTCACACAGGAGTTAGAAGCTACTGGGAAAAGTAGCTACTGGGAAAATCTACCTCTGACAAGAGGAGATCACTTTAGATATTACTGAAATGAAGAAAGCTTACAATTAGTGAACATGAAAGGAAAATAAAAATTCCTCACAGCCATCTTTTTACAATTGTATTGTGTTTTATACCAGTCATTAGTCATTGGAGTCTATGTTGTAGATCTCAGCTTCCAAATCAGCTAATCACACTAGAATTTGTTTTCTCTTTACAGTAACTTCACATTGTCTTTTGAAGCTAAATATATTATTCTGTCAAACAACAGAAAAGAAGAATTAACTTTTTGTCCCATCAGTCAAGTAGGTTATACAGGCACTGGAATTAAAGAGAAAGCAGTGGTTTTTTAAGTCCCAAAGTTCATGTGTTAAAATTATTTGAATGTTAATGTTCCCCTCTAATGACAAATACAGATCTGTCCTTACAGATGCAGGGGTGTTTTTTCAAATTATGCATGGCAAATGTCTGCATATGTGTTGACACTCCTGTGAGTGGATTGTTAATGCTCTGTGTATATCTTTGAGCCACTAGAGATGTTATACTTCTGTATTTTCATCTGTTCTAAGCAGAAAGAAGTGATGGCTCTGTGCAAGCAGTCCCTTCTTAAGGAAGAACTAACATTAAGAACTTACATCATGAGGCCAGCCACAGTGGTTCACGCCTATAATCCCAGCACTTTAGGAGGCCAAGGTGTGAGGAATGCTTGAGCCCAGGAGTTCGAGACGAGCCTGGGCAACATAGGGAGGCCCCGTCTCTACAAAATAAAAGATAAATAATATATATATTTTTTCAAGTTAGATCATGTTTTTCTTCTCTAGCCATCCTCTCCTACCTACTACCCTCCCACCAAATTGATATAAACTGTTCTGCTATAATATGACAGTAGTGGCCAAGCACGGTGGCTCATGCCTGTAACCCTAGTTCTTTGGGAGGCTAAGAAGGGCAAATCCCTTGAGCCCAGGAGTTCAAGACCAGCTTGGGCAATATGGCGAAACCCGTCTCTACAAAAAATACAATAGCCAGGCATGCCAGGCGCAGTGGCTCACGCCTGTAATCCCAGCACTCTGGGAGGCCGAGGTGGGCAGATCACGAGGTCAGGAGATTAAGACCATCCTCGCTAACACGGCGAAACCCCGTCTCTACTAAAAATACAAAAAAATTAGCCGGGTGTGGTGGTAGGCGCCTGTAGTCCCACCTACTTGGGAGGCTGAGGCAGGAGTATAATATGAACCCGGGAGGCAGAGCTTGCAGTGAGCGGAGATTGCGCCACTGCCCTCCAGCCTGGGCAACAGAGCGAGACTCCGTCTCAAAAAAAAAAATACTAGGCGTGGTGCCATGTGCCTTTAGTCCTAGCTACCTGGGAGGCTGAGTTAGGAGGATCTCCAAAGCCCAGGGAGATTGAGGCTGCAGCGAACCATGATCATGCCACTTACTCCAGCCTGAGCAACAGACTGAGATACTGTCTCAAAAAAAAAACAAAGACAGTGGCATTCTTAGGAAAATCCACGTTGTCAAGCACTAAACTATAAAAACAATGCATTCAGTGGGTGAAGGTAGGAGAAGGGGTTCAAGAGATTCAGACTTAGAGAAGGAAAGTTATTTTTCCAAAAGCAATCTCAGTAAGTTTTTTAGGGTTATGAAGATTCAGCACTGACGACGCTGAAATACCACAGTACAAATGCTTCCATAGATTCCCTGGGCTTTGCACTCGCCAGATCCATTTCTATGATAAAGCACAGAGCTCCTCAAACAGAATGGTCGAGTTGCAGGCTCAGCAGCCTCCTTGTCAGTGTCCTGCTCAGTTGAGCCAGGATATGGCCTTGGACCTTTCCGTTGGAAAAAAATAAACGTTTGGCATACTTTAATATACTAAAATAAATTAATATGTGTACATCAAGATGTCAAAATTAGTAAAATACTCACTTTTTTTTTCCCTAGACCTTTGAAACTCACAACTCTGCAACACCTCTACAGGAAAGAAGCCTTGGACTGGATATAAATAGTATGTGTGTGTTAATATAAAACTGAATTTTGGAAATGCATCATTCCCTTATAGATTTCTTTCACTTGGTAAAACGTGTATACTAGGATCCTAATTCAAAACTTTCATTGTTTTCAGAAAAATTGAAAATGAAATATCTGTTGAAGGAGGAAAGCTAATCTACCATAGGTCTCCTTTAGGATTTACTAGGATAACAATAAACAACAAAACAATAATGACAAAAACAAAAATTAGCTAATAGTTGTTGAGCATTTCTTGTGTGCCAGGCACACTAAGATGTTTATATGTAGTCTTTCCTTAATCCTCACAAGAAGTCCCATGAATAAGCACTATTCATCAGGAAACTGGGTTTCAGGGAGGTATGGTAACTCTCTAGGCAAAGTCACACAGCTAAGGAGTGGCAAAACCAGGAGTGAAATCCAAGTATGTCTGGATCTTGAGCCCATGCTCTTAATGCACTGGATAAACTTCTAGAACAATCAGAATCATGACTATTGCTACTCACAGATGTCTAAAGTCTGTTACTAGAAAACCCAAGAGAACAGAGTACACAACTACTAAATTTACAAAAGTGGTGGGGTAAAATATAAATTCATAAAAAAAAGAAAACTTTCCTATCTCTTAGTAGAGATTTGGCAATGAAATGTGCCACTGTTACAAACTAAACACTTCTATGATTTTCCAGTGTCATAGGAACTGCTGTTGATCTCATTTTAAGTAAAAAAAAAAGCAGGATATAAAATTGTGTGTCTCTTACAATTCCAGTTTTAAAAATACATAGGTGAGGCTAGGAACAATGGTATGCATCTGTGGTCCTGGCTACTTGGGAGGCTAAGGTGGGAAGATCGCTGGAGCCCAAGAGATCCAGTCCAGATGGGGCAACATAGTGAGACCCTGTCTCTTTTTGATTGTTTTTTTTGTTTGTTTGTTTGTTTGTTTTTAAGACAGTCACTCTGTTGCCTAAGCTGAAATGCAGTGGCGTGATCCTGGCTCACTGCAACCTCTGCTTCCCAGTTCAAGCGAGTCTCCTGCCTCAGCCTCCCAACTAGCTAGGATTACAGGTGCCTGCCACCACACCCGGCTAATTTTTGTATTTTTAGTAAAGATGGGATTTCACCATGTTGGCCAGGCTGGTCTCGAACTCGTGACCTCAAGCGATCCTCCCGCCTCGGCCTCCCAAAGTGTTGGGATTACAGGCATAAGCCACCGTGCCCGGCCGAGACCCCATCTCTTAAAAAAAATACATATATAGGCTGGGTGCCGTGGATATATAGGTAGATATATGTATATCTACTGGATATGTGTATATATATATACACACACACAAGAAATTATTACAGCCAAGAAAAGAAACAGTAAATATTATTTTAAAATTATACAAACAATTTGAAGGGTTAGGAATGAAAGGAGAATAATTTAAGGATGAAATATATTCCTAATGGCTGTTTTATTTGAAATCTTCCACCTATAGTGGATTCAAGGATCACACATGAAAACATAGTAGAAAAAGAGAGAGTCCAACGAATAACTCAAGAAACATTTGGAGATTATCCTCAACCACAACTAGAATTTGCACAATATAAGGTAAGACGTCGTAATAAATATTAACTACAAGATATCAACATTTTTTAAAAAGAACAAAAACCTTAAGTGGAAGACAAATCTAAGAAACTGTTCCTTTTTCATTTGTCACTTAAATTTCATGTAATAAATTTATGAATTAAATAAACCTCTTTATTGTATTTATAAGTTCCTGTGTGAGCAAAGGAGACTTTTAGAAATTATGAATTTGGGCCAGGCGCAGTGGCTCACACTTGTAATCCCAGCACTTTGGGAGGCCAAGGCAGGCAGATCACCTGAGGTCAGGAGTTCGAGACCAGCCTGGCCAATATGGTAAAACCCTATCTCTACTAAAAATACAAAAAATATCTGGATGTGGTGGCACACACCTGTAATCCCAGGTACTCAGGAAGCTGAGGCAGGAGAATCACTTGAACCCAGGAGGCGGAGGTTGCAGTGAGCCAAGATCACGCCATTGCACTCCAGCCTGGGCGACAGAGCGAGACTCCATCTCAAAAAAGAAAAAAAGAAATTATGGATTTGCCTTTTCATTTCATCTTACATATTAATGCAGTTATGCATAACTGGGAGTAATCTGTATATTTGAGGGGGAAAAATGTAGATTATACCATTCTAGCCCATCCACAACCTAGGACAGTATTTGGCACATAATAGGCACTCATAAATACTTGCTGAATAAAAGAAAGAATAGGTATGTCATTACATATTCCAGCCGGCATCACATGGAGAAAAGCCAGTAACCTAGGCAGTACCACAAATGTGGCTTGTTCCAGAAGTGTGCCTTCCAGACATGTGCTGCTGCCCACCGGGAAGGCCAGGGCAGGGGCTACAGGTGTTTAATGCAAACCCACTGCCACCACTAGGAGAACTTGAGGCTTATATTGTGATCACTCTAATTTCGGTCCATGCTCATACTCAAAACACCTTACTGCTTGCAAGCCTTCCCAGTAAGTTTTTTTCTCTTTAGCCTTTCTATAGCTACAGGCCACACTTTAAATCTGCCATTGATCTGCTCACTTAGGCCTAAAGCCTGTTTGATATGATTTAGTTTTAGTGGGAAAAATGGATTGACACCTTTCAAGTTGGGTCCCTTAATGGCAGGCTTTACACTAGTTCCTTTAAACAGGCGATAAACTACAACAGTGGTTCTCGAAGCGTAGTCCCTGGATTAGTAGTATCAGCATCACTTGGGAAGGGGGAGGAAATGCCAATTCTTGACCCCACCCTAGTCACTAGGGGAGGTAGGAGCCCGCATTCTGTTTTCACGAGCCCTCCAGCTGAGTCTGCACACGCAAACATGAGAGCCACGGGTCTAGCATGCAGAAAATGTGCTTTCTAAACTTCCCTTTATACACATCTCAGAATGGCACTATTCTGTATGTCAAGGTACACATTTATTCGTAGCTTCTACTAATTTTTTCCTACCTTTTCTATTTTGAAAAATGTCAAATCTGGCCAGGCGCGGTGGCTCATGCCTGTAATTTCAGCACTTTGGGAGGCTGAGGCGGGCAGATCACCTGAAGCCAGGAGTTCAAGACCAGTCTGGCCAATATGGTGAAACCCCATCTCTACTAAAAATACAAAAATTAGCCAGGCATGGTGGCACACACCTGTAGTCCCAGCTACTCAGGAGGCAGAGGCAAGAGAATAGCTTGAACCCGGGAGGTGGAGGTTGCAGTAAGCCGAGATAATACCACTGTACTCCAGCCTGGACAACAGAGCAAGACTCCATCTCAACAAAAAGGGTCAAATCTTCAGAAAACTTGCAAGAATATTCCAAAGAACATCTATTTTTCTTCGCTTCAGTTCACCAGTTGTTAACAGTTTGGTGCATTTACTTGAACCATTTGAGTTAGTCGCAGACATTACTCATCCACCACATAGTTTACTATATTGCCTCTGAAATGTAATGATCACTTTAAAAAAAACTGAAATTTAGAATTTCATGGATATTTGATGATATCAGATGGTATGGTAATGGTATTGGGGTTCACTTCTTTTTTTTTTTTTTGGAGATGGAGTCTCGCTCTGTCACCCAGGCTGGAATGCAGTGGCACGATCTTGGCTCACTGCAACCTCTGCCTCCCAGGTTCAAGCAATTCTCCTGCCTCAGCCTCCCGTGTAGCTGGGATGACAGGTGCCCGCCACCACACCCGGCTAGTTTTTTGTGTGTATTTTTAGTAGAGACGGGGTTTCACCATGTTGGCCAGGCTGGTCTCGAACTCCTAGCCTCAGGTGATCTGCCTGCCTCGGCCTCCCAAGGTGCTGGGATTACAGGATTGAGCCACCGCACTCAGCCACTAGTTGATAATTATTTTACCTGGGTGATGTGCACATGGGGCTGATACCATGCTCCTTACTTTTGTATGTGTTTAAAATATCCCATGATTAGAAGTTAAAAAGAAATCTCAGCTGGGCACAGTGGCTCACACCTATAATCCCAGTACTTTGGGAGGCGGAGGCAGGCGGATCCCTTGAACCCAGGAGATCGAGACCAGCCTGGGCAACATAGCAAAACCCTGTCTCTACAAAAATTCAAAAATACAAGGCGTGGTGGCATGTGGCTGTAGTCCCAGCTATTTGTGCTGAGGCGGGAGAATGGCTTGAGCCAGGGAGGTCGAGGCTGCAGTAAGCCATGTTCGTACTGCTCCAACTTGGGCAACAAAATGAGACTCTCAAAAAAGAAAGAAAGAAAGAAATCTCTGTGTGTCTTAAAAAAAATGTGGTATTTTTACATTGAAGTTACAGATTGCAAAACAGAGCATTAATTTTCCATTAAGAATGCAAACTGTAACGGGCACCTGAGGGTGGAACTGACAGTCAACATCTCCCATGTGGCAGGCACTGTGCATGCTGGCATTTTGCCTTGAATGTTGTTTGATATACCAGTTTCCCTCTATGTTTTGTTTTGTTTTTTCTGAGATGGAGTTTCACTCTGTCGCCCAGGCTGGAGTGCAGTGGCACCATCTATGGCTCACTGCAGCCTCTGACTCCTAGGTTCAAGCATTTCTCATGCCTCAGCCTCTGAGTAGCTGGAATTACAGGCACCCGCCACCATGCCTGGCTAATTTTTGTATGTTTAGTAGAGACGGAGTTTCACCATGTTAGCCAGGTTGGTATCAAACTCCTGACCTCAGGTGATCCGCCCACCTCGGCCTTCCAAAGTGCTGAGATTACAAGCATGAGCCACCACGCCTGACCTGCCCTCTGTGTTTGCAGTTAGCAGATTAAATGGTTCCCACCCCTGTTAAATCCTTTATTTCTTCATGACAAGAATTAATGAAATGTTATTCTGATTTCATTATATTTTAGCATTCGTATTTGTACAATACGTTTAATAGTCATTTATAAATATGTTCGTTGACAGCTTGAAACGAAATTCAAAAGTGATTTAAATGGGAGCATCTTGGCTGAGAGGGAAGAACCCCTCCGATGCCTAATAAAGTTCTCTAGCCCACATCTTCTGGAAGCATTGAAATCCTTAGCACCAGCTGGTGAGTGGTCAGCTTACTCTATAAGCTAGAAAAATTAACAACATGCCTCCATTCCGTCCTTATAATCTGCTAATTACTTCGGAGCTCTCTCATCACCCCAGTCTGCTAGCCCATCATGCTCTCTCTTACATATTCTGCTTCTGTACTTAAGGGGGAAGAGGGGCATCTATGATCTACCCTCTAATCTCAGCCATTTTTAGACTGACTCAAATCCCATCCTCCTATGATGACTTTTAATTTTATTTTTTCCTTTTTTGTTGTTAATTTCAGGTATTGCAGATGCACCACTTTCTCCACTGCTCACTTGCATACCCAATAAGAGAAAGAATTATTTTAAAATTAGAGATAAATAAGACATGCATGGTTTCATAAGCTCACCTCCTCCTTCTTGATACTGCACATGCACTTCAGTTCATGGCTAGCTGTATAGCTTCTGTCTGTAAACTTGTATTTTCAAGAATCTTTGGTATTGAATTTTTAGAAATGCTCACATAATTGTTGGGAGTGATTCATTCCTCCACGATATGCCTCCTCTCTCCGATATCCTGCTAACTGTAGCCGCTGTAGCATTTGAGATGACAGGACATATATATATATGGCCCCACACTTGACCTTGAGTGTCTGAGTGCTCTGAAATCAAGCATATGGCACAGCACTTGAGACTTTTGAGTTTGTGTCCTTTCTTCTATGGCTGTCTCTTCTTAATTCTGGAGAGGTCTGGTTCCACTGGCTGGTTTGCAGGGATTGATTCTTAAGCACCGGATCACAGAAAGAAGCAACAAGAAACTATACTGAACTCAAAAGTTTTTAGGAGAATCATGAAATTGGTCCATTCAAAGGATAGAGTTGAGTCCATTGTGTTATTGTTGCAAGAGGTTGCATATTTGGTGAGTCCGTTATATAAAATAATGTTCTTATTGTAAATATGATACTTTTCATAATCTATTTTACCATGTATGTAACATTCAAACTGACAAATATTATACTGACTTATGAATAAAGGTGTCAAAAAACTGGCACTTCAGTTACTTTTGATGAAAGTCCTTCAGTGATCGTCACTAAATACCCTATCTTTTTAAAAATTTTTTCCTATTTATTTATTTAGACAGGGTCTCACTCTGTCACCCAAGCTGGAGTGCAGTGGCATGATCACAGCTCACTGCAGCCTTGACCTCCCAGGCTCAAGTGATCCTCCCACCTCAGCCTCCCGAATAGCTGGGATTACAGACATGCTCCATCATGCCCAGCTAATTTTTTTGTTGTTGTTTTTTGTTTTTTGAGACAGAGTCCCCTTCTGTCACCCAGGCTGGAGTGCAATGGCACAATCTTGGCTTCCTGCAACCTCTGCCTCCTGGGTTCAAGCGATTCTCCTGCCTCAGCCTCCGAGTAGCTGAGACCACAGGCATGCACCACCATGCCCAGATAATTTTTGTATCTTTAGTAGAGATGGTTTCTCCATGTTGCCCAGGCTGGTCTTGAACTCCTGGGCCCAAGCAGTCTGCCCATTTTCGCCTCCCAAAATGCTGGGATTATAGGAGTGTATTAGTCTGTTCTCATGCTGCTAATAAAGATACCTAAGACTGGGTAATTGACAAAGGAAAGAGACTTAACTGACTCACATTCCCACAAGGCCGGGGAGTCCTCACAATCATGGTGGAAGGCAAATGAGAAGCAAAGCCATGTCTTACATGACGGCAGGCAAGAGAGCTTGTGCAGGGAAACTCCCATTTATAAAACCATCAGAGCTCATGAAACTTATTCACTACCATGAGAATAGTTGGGGGAAAATCGCTCCCATGACTCCAGTATCTCCACCTGGCCCTACCCTTAACACATGGCAGTTACTACAATTCAAAGTGAGACTTGTGTGGAGACACAGCCAAACCATATCACAGGCATGAGCCACCATGCCCGTCAGCGTGTCTTTTTTAAACATTTTAAAATCTATTCTTTATCTTGTTTCAGAGAGGATTTGGAGTTATAAAAACACATTAGACTGGGCATGGTGGCTCACATTTGTAATCCCAGCACTTCCCAAGGTTTCTCCTAGTGTACTCTCATACTTCTGATACCAGATATGGCAGTGGGGGGGCAGTTCCCCCACACATTAAGCTAGTATGAAACATGATATACAAAATGACATCACTCTAGGTCGGGTGTAGTGGCTCATGCCTGTAATCCTAGCACTTTGGGAAGCCGAGGTGGGCGGATCACCCAAGGTCAGGAGTTCAAGACCAGCCTGACCAACATGGTGAAGGTGAACCCCGACTCTACTAAAAGTACAAAAATTAGCCGGGCGTGGTGGTGTGTGCCTGAATTCTAGCTACTCAGGAGACTGAGGCAGGTGAATTGCTTGAACCTGGGAGGCAGAGGTTGCAGTGAGCCAAGATTGCGCCACTGCACTCCAGCCTAGGCGACAGAGTGAGACTCCATCTCAAAAAAAAAATAATTAATTAAATAAAATAAAATAAATGACATCACTCTGGTTCAGAGCTCTAAAATGGAGGGAGGAAGCCATTCTAAGAAGGACACCCTACATGACCTGCAACTTGAAAAAAAATAAAAGCTCAAAAAAAAAAAAATACAGGAACTTACCTTGAACCTTTGAATTGGGCCAAATTGCAATGACCAGTGCATCCTGGAAAGCTGAATTTCACCAGCACTACAACTCAACAGCACCGACCAATAAACTATGGATTTTTGTACTAAGCCAATCACCTCTTTCAAAACAACTTGTCACCTTGTCTAATCACCCTCAGCTTTTTTTAAAAACCCCCTCCTCTACCCTCTCTCTTCAGAACACAAGTGGCTTCTAGCTGAATCTGTCTCCCAAATTGCAATTTCTAAGACCTCAATAAAAACACCTTGTCTTGCAGCTTTGCATTGTGGTCTTTTGCCCCTTGGATGACATTAAATGGTGTCAGAATTGAGTGGGACAAAGAAGCGACTCCCTTCTTTGTTCTGGGGCGGCCACGGATTCAAGCACAGTTCCTGCAGGAGGAACCCCTTGTGCTCTACACGCCTCCCATGGCCACAGACCTGTTGATGAGTTGTCTCATTCCCTAACCCCCTACCTTGGTTGAGGTTCTTTTTCCAATGTCCTTGGTTGCCAGCTGTCCGAAAAGGGATTTTCCCTTTTTAGTGAGAACCTATGGGGACTTTTACTTCTAAGTGTATAGGTGGCGAGTCCCCCTTCCAGAACCCCTGCTGGTTTTATGTACAAAAGTGACAGTCTTTCGTCTTACAGATTTCTTTCTTAGTGAACCAATATCAGTAAAAGTAATCTGGAATTACAGTAGCCAACCCAGAGATGCTTTTATCTCACAAAACATGTTTTTCTTCATGTGCAATTAAAAGAGCTAGGCTGGGTGCGATGACTGGCGCCTATAATCCCAGCACTTTGGGAGGCTGAGGCGGGAATATCCCTTGAGCCCAGGGGTTCGAAACCAGCCTGGGCAACATGGTGAAATCTATCTCTATTTTTATTTATTTATTTATTTGTTTGTTTGTTTGTTTATTTTTGAGATAGAGTTTCACTCTTGTTGCACAGGCTGGAATGCAATAATGCGATCTCGGCTCACTGCAACCTCCACCTGCCAGGTTCAAGCGATTCTCCTGCCTCATCCTCCCAAGTAGCTGGGATTACAGGTATGCACCACCATGCCTGGCTAATTTTTTGTATTTTCAGTAGAGGTGAGGTTTCCCCATGTTGGCCAGGCTGGTCTTCAACTCCTGACCTCAGGTGATCCACCCGCCTTGGCCTCCGAAAGTGCTGGGTTACAGGCGTGAACCACCATGCCCAGCCCCCCATCTCTAATAAAAAATAAAAAAATTAGCCAGGTGTAGTGGTAATGGAGGTCAAAGCCACAGTGAGCCATGATCGCACCACTGTACTCCAGCCTGAGCAACAGAGTAAGACCCTGTCTCAAAAAAACCATAAAAGGGATAAAAGGAAAGATTAAACAGCTCGACGGGGATGTCTACTGTAATTTGGTATCTTGAGGTATCAAAAAGACTCCAGGAATCTAAATTAGCATCCCTAAGAACAATGCCAACTCAAAAACTCTAATGAAAAACTCAGAACAAATCAAACCTGGCGCCAAGCAGATGTCTATCTGATTGTGCTTGTCCTGTGTCACCTTTCCTTTGTAGTCCTACTCCTATCCCAATGCCACCTCTGCACCCTATTTTTCTTTTTTTTTTTTTTAGAAACAGGGTCTTACCATGTTGCCCAGGCTGGATGCAAACTCCTAGGCTCAAGCGATCCTCTAACCTCAGCCTCCCAAGTAGCTGGGACCACAAGTACAAGCCACTGTGCTCAGCATTTTGATTAAATATTTAATTTTAAACCTTTGATATTTGACAGGCTTACCAAAATCAAAATTCTTTTTTTTTTTTTGAGATGCAGTCTCGCTCTGTCACCCAGGCTGGAGTGCAGTGGCACGATCTTGGCTCACTGCAACCTCTGCCTCCTAGGTTCAAGCGATTCTCCTGCCTCAGCCTCCCAGGTAGCCGGGACTACTGGTGCTTGCCACTACATTTGGCTAATTATGTTTTTAAGATGGAGTCTTGCTCTGTTGCCCAGGCTGGAGTACAATGGCACGATCTTGGCTCACTGCTCAGCCTGCCTCAGCCTCCTGAGTAGCTGGGATTACAGGCACGTGCCACCATGCCCAGCTAATTTTTGTATTTTTAGTAGAGATGGGGTTTCATCATGTTGCTCAGGCTGGTCTCGAACTCCTGACCTCAAGGGATCCTCCTGCCTCGGCCTCCCAAAGTGCTGGGATTACAGGTGTGAGCCTCCATGCCCAGCCAAAATTCTATTCTATTTAACTTGATTTTTCTCTTCATGGCCAACTCACTATTTCGTTTGTGAAACTTCTAGGGAAATTTCAGACTAGAGAATACTGAAGCACAGAAAATGATGGTACTTGGGCATGCTGGGTGCTTTTGAAAATGGAAAGGCCTGAGAAACAAGCCTGAGAGTCAAGGTCCCTCTAACCTTGTCTTATTCTTGTCTCAACCAAGGGCAGAGAGGAACTCCCTCTGGAATTTCCTTGTCTGACTAAGAAAGCTTCTTACTAAAAGAAACACACTTGCCTTCTATTCTGTCCTTCAAATCTCGTTATCTATCAAAGAAATGAAGACTGAGAAATACAGCCACACATGGATAGACCTTTTCATAAGGCCTGCCCCTCAGGCTCATTCAGATTCCAAAGAGAATCATTTACAAGTTAATTTCTGTCTCCCTAGTCCTTTTATTCTCCCTGATAATAATTTACTGCTCCTCAAAAGAATTATACACGTTCCCCATCTCCTTATTCCCCTATGAAAAAGGGTATATAAACATCCACACCCCATTGGGGGTTGGGGGATAATCACTGTGATTTCTCCCCTTCCCGCCACCCCCCCGCCAGGCACATTAATAAAACTTGTATGCCTTTTCTCCTATTAATCCATCTTTCATCAGTTGATTTTCAGTATATTTTTTTAGCACTTTTTAGCAGGATCCAAAAGCTGCTCTGCTATTCTGCAAGCCACAGTCAAGGGACCCAGGACCTGAGCAGCTGTATGTCCCATTGTATACAAGATGTTAAAATCACGATGTCACAACATTTAGACATGGTTAATCAAATGTATGCCTCTCCTGATATACAGCTAACTACTATAGACTAATGCAGGCCTCCTTGTTAAAATAGACCCCTTGTTACTCAAATTTGACCAATCTTGGAAGCTTGGATGTGCACCGACTTGACAACCGCTCTTTGTGGGACATGACACTCTAGACACAGGTGTTTCTAGCTCTAAGGGAAACATAACTAGTCTATGGCCAACCAACCAACAAGCTATGCTGCCTCGGATCTTGATCAAAAGAGGGAAATGTGAAAAGTGATACACAAAATGGCGTAACTTTGGTCCAGAGCTCTAAAATGGACTTGCGAAGCCATTCTAAGAAGGACTGCCTGCACAACCTGCAACTTGCAAAACACAAAGACGAAAAATATGAACTTGCCTTGAAGCTTTGAACTGGGCCAAAACTGCAGTAACCACTACTTCCTGGAAAACTGAATTTCACCAGTGCTACAACTCCTGAACAGTGGCAACCAATCAACTATGGATTCGTGTACTAAGCCAGCCACCTCCACCAATGATAATTCTTTCAAAACAACTTGTTTATTAACCCTCTGCTTTCTTTTAAAAACCTCTACTTCTCTCCTTCTTTTCAGAACCCCATTTGGCTTCTAGGTGAATCTGTGTCTCCCAAATTGTAATTT